CCACCCCCCCCCTCCTCCCCCCCACGAGTCAAAACTACTAAATATGTCGACTGAGAGGATTCGGTAGATGGTAAAAGTAGTTTATCCTTTTCATTTTGCACTACTCCTCTATTAGTAGCAATGCTAATGTGTTCACTCGCAATCAATATTCGAATTATAGGGTCTCTTTAATTAGCCCGTATTGAATGTGCCTGCATTGTTTGTCGACTTGTGCTGTATCATAGTTCATCTCGAAAAAATCCCTATGCATTTGTTATCGGACCTTTTTTTAAGCCTACTTATTTGAGCGATCAAAGGTCAAAGTTTGACTCATCACGAAAGTGAATATGCACTTGGTTCTATTTTGATCCATTGAGTTGTGCGCGCGCGCGTGCGCTACTGTCCTTCGAAAAATAATCATGTTAATTAAGTTGAAACACTTTGATTTACCAATTGTGTGCTAAAGGCTTTAACTTGCCCCATGATTGAGCTGTGGTGGGAGTCCAAATTTCTTGGTGGGGAAACGGTACACTCAGTGATACCACATGCAATGGTTTAGTAAATAAATCCATTCTCTCTGGTTAAGCCACGCAAATAACTTAATTTTCATAAGGATTCCAAGTGAATGTACTTGAAAACATTATTGAATACCTCTTTCAGAATCGTGGTTGAATATGTAACCATTTAAAAGCAAAATTAATTTATTTTTTGACTTGCTATTGATACTTGGGTTCATCTTGTGAGAAGGAAACGGAAGTGGAACAATGGTGAAGCTCAATAATGAAAGAAAGGGAGAATCCCAAAAGATGTTGAGGAAGAATCAAGTTATGGATTATTCAGTTGAAGTCATTACCAACGCTACAGGATAGGCTGACAAGTAGAAAACATCCAGTTGGGGGGGGGGGGCTTTACAATTCGAGTTCTTTTTTGTGCTCATTTTATGGCGGAAAATTCTTTCTGAGCATTTTTTTTCTGTTTACGAGTTGGCATTTAACCCCACCTCATATCTGCAGAGTGGCTTTTTCAAACCGAAACAAACTTTTTGGTATCAATATTTGATCGTTTGAATACACTCATTGTTTCTAGTCGTTTTAAGGCATTCCAAAATCTCTTTGCATTTTGGACTCTGTCGATCACTTCACCATATCTATTTATGATGGTAGGCAGAAAATTTGGCGCAGTTTCATTTAAAAATCCGGTCCCTTTCAAATTTATCGAACAACAAAATGCCTGATATTGTGCAACAAGGCTACACCATCGAATATTTTAACACCAGGAAAGAGAAATATATTCACTAGAACGTTGAATTGAACTCAAACTATTTCCATAGTGTTACAGTCTTGGGTGAATGAAATAGGGAAACGTTGGAATCAATTGGTCGATAAATCTTGCTCATTATTCAGTCCTTTTCGTAATCCACAGATAGACTCCAGTACACAAGTTTGGGAGGGGGGGGGAATTTTCCCCCTACTCCCACCAACTGGCTTTAACTGTGGTCAATGTTGCGGGAATGGGGGTGTGCGATAGACTTACCTCCACGTGGTGCACCCTGGGCAACGTATACTCATGCGGCAAAAAAGTCTATTACCTGGCAGTTGACTTCAAACTACCATGACCCCACTGTATGTCATATTCGAATATTTTCACAGTACTCACCTCACCTTTGTTCTACCTTTGTGTTTGTCTTTTACATCTTTGAAGAACTCTTCTGTTCCCCCCCCCCTGTCGACTTTTTCAATTTGATATTCCTTCCCCTCTGTGAAGCCTGAAGTCAACTAAAGGGCTAATTATAACCATCAAGACGCCTGCCATTTGGTATAAATATAATGTTGCGGGAATGCAAGACTACACTGTCTACACCTACAAGTACGCCTGTATCATGGCTTGAGCTATTAGCACGCGTTAGAGACTAAGGGTTATTTTGTATAATAGTGCAATATTCGTGAGTATATATTTACTGGATGCTTGTCGCTGAAACTAAAACTCCTCAATAACGAATCAGTTCGGTTTATGCATTTTGTATCGCTAATTTTTTAATTGCCTTAAGAAAGTGAATTAAATGGTATTTTTTTTGACCTTGGGTTAATATCACCTCAAAATCGGCGGTTGGTAATATGTCTCTTATGCTTTATTTAATATATTCGTGGGAAAATTCCCGACTAAATTTGGGCCCTTCGTTCAATGTTCGTTTATTTTTTTCATTCAACCTAGACAATGATTTTTCTATTTGGTCAAAAAACAGTAGTGGCGAACACTTAACGCGTATCTTTAGAAGTCCCCTATTGGCGAAAGGGTATGAATACTCACATTTGGTCAATATATATATATATATATATATATATACTAAAAATTTGCCGTTGATTCTATTGTTTGTTTTGCCTGATTTAGTTCCAAGGTGATCTTTTGCTAAAATCTTTGCCTCTACCATAAATGGCTAAATAAAAATTATGCACTCAATGTCTTATAAATCTAAGTAATTTTGGGGTTTGTTATGCTCCGAGACTTCAAACGCCATTTTAAGAAACGACCTATTTACCTGCTCCATTGTTGCCCAGTACGTCATAGAAATGAGATCCATAATGCAAAGTATCCGGGCGCCTACTTGTCTTACTAATTATTACAGGAGATGTGTCGGCCGACTTTCAAATCAAAGTGACCAAAATGAGAAAGTTGGCGGTGCTGTAAGGAGGGAGGGAGGGCGGGCGGGGGGAGAGGTTAGTGGGAAAATAGTTTTTCCATCGCTCTAGTCCCATAATATTCCCCCTTCTCAAGAAATTTTAAATTCGGCAAATTAATTACGAACCCAGCGCATGCTCCTTTAAACTCATTTAAATGCCGGAGTGTTACACCACTTGAAGAAATTCTTTTTACATTTTAAATCTACCACTGCCACCCATGGAGTGGTTAAAAACAGCATTTAAATGCCTTTATCGTTAAGAAATATTGAAATAAGGGGAAAAGTAAACATGTCATTAAATTGTGTAATTAGATAAGAGTTCGGGAAGCGTCACAATGTAATATCCCTATTTAAGGCCTTTTTCTTGTAATTCGCCTACTAAGTTAAAGAAGTTCTAATTCATCTCGTCTTCCTTCTTCCATCCTCTTGACAGCTCCCAAGGCAGGCGTCTGCGACGGAATGATGTGGGGTCTGCAACCAATTTTGAAAGCCCTTCCAGCGTGGTGGCGTTTTCTTCAGTGCCTTCGACGATATCGGGATTTGAGCGTCAAATCGCCTGTGCCACATCTCATGAATGCCGGCAAATACTCCACCACCCTCATTGCCATTTTATTTTCTGCCATATCCAGTGTCGTTCCCAGTAAGTTCCACCTATCTTGATCACTGCCAATCGAAGTAGACTAAGCAAATCCCCTCCAATACACGTTAATCAATGTCCTC